GTGTGTGTGTGTTTGTGTGGACAGATTCCCACCTGACTCCTTAAGCCACAACACAGAAAAGAGACATTTGTCATTAATATTTTACATCACCAATCAACAGGCCATTTTAGATCCTTCACTGTGAGGAAATTCAAATGAGACTGTGGGAGACATTCACACACACACACACCCTGAGGAGCCACAAGAACTCCTTAGAGGTATTCCTCTTTAAGAATTGAAGTTAATCATATAAGTACTAATATGACATATATGTGTATATATATATATGTACTACTACTTCTGCTTGATTTAACCATTAATGAAGGGTAACTCTGGTTATGAGTGTAAATCCCTTAAATACAATGTTTTAGATGTTTTCTGTCTTGCTTACATCTTAGCAGACTCTGTCGCAGGCAAAGGAAAAGAGCCCCTCACCCACTCTCTCTGGGATTTACTTTTCTTTTGTCCTCAAGGACATGGCGCAGAGCAGAAAATGGGGGTGTACTAATTAGTAGCGAGGAGAAAGTAGGTCTCCCCACTGACCCGTTGTGTGAGGGTCAAGAGTTCAAAGTTTGAAGAACATGAATCCCAAGGAGGTTTGAACATAAGTGTGCTCTAAAAGCACTTTCAGCTGTGTGTTGATGTGAAATATATTTGACAGTTAAGGTCGTATGACCCATAATTTGATATGCTGGGGGTGTGTGGGGGCCAGTTAAGGCTAAATGAACATACAACAGGCATGGTTGGTTATTATTTTCAGATATGTAGCAATTGCAGCTTTGCACACATGAACATAAGGATTATCAGCAGGATTACCAAGAGGTTATGTAGAGTATTTTGTTACCAAAGACTACACTTCATAAGCAACATGTCCTGTCAGCACTGCCTGATTAAAACAGAGTTACAGGGGCTGAAGCCCAGGGCCCCACTGAGAGGACAGAGAGGGGCACATGGACCCCTGTCTGCAAATTCAATATAATGTGGCTAATTGGATGGCCTTGTCTGCGGATGAGACGAAGAGCCACTGCAGGCCTTTACAGATCTTCTTTTACGTGGAGGTAGTGTCACAGCACATCAGGCTCCTGCTCAGTGGCCCAAACTGTTAATATAAAAGTGAATTAATCATTGATCTGTCCCTGGTCAGCTTATGTGTCAGCAACTGGCTTCATCATCCAGTTATTAATATTTAGCTTTGTGAAAGTAGCACAGTATCTCCACTGATTCACTGGCGTAGGTTTGGGCTTGTGAGTCACCTCAGAGCAACGTCAGTTCATTTTTGTGTCTGCATCAATAATGTTTGGAAAAATTCAAAAGCAAAATGTCTCATCTTTGAAAATTACAGTATAGTTGTGTGTAATCGTCTGTAAATTCTTGTATTTTTTTCTGGGTTTCCAGGTACCAACCGAGCACTGCTGTGCAAGTCCAGCAGCGATGGCCAGAACCAGGTTCTCCAGATTGGCCGACCACACAGCACTGACAATGAAGACGAGCTGCAGAGACTGGCTGCTCTGGGTGAGACGCACAGACAGTCACTTACATATACATAGACAATCTGACCAGGGTTTGTTTGCTTCACTTCTTCAGTTGAGATTTATTTAAACTATTATAGGAATTATTATTATTTTTTGGTCAGATTGTTTATTAATTCCATTATTGATTCCTGATTCCAATTTTCTGAGTGGAAAATAAATATGCCTACACAGGTTTTGAGTGTCAAGGCAACAGTTATTATTATCTCTGAGTCTGAATAGTTGAGCTGGCTGTAGCCTGAGAACTAGCTGTTGCAATAGTCTGTCATAATGTTAAGTGGATAGAATATTCATATAGGTTTTCGTAGTCAAAGAAAAGGTTTAATGTTATTGTACGTGCTGCATTGTGGCACCAATAGAAGAAATTCTCAGCTCAGAGGCATATTATTCTGATCTTTTTCAACTGGAACCTCATTCCTCTTGTGCTCTGCTGACTTTGCTGTTGTTTTTTTATGTCAAGGGCATTCTGGGAACATTACAAGAACGAAATTAATCCTAAAGACAAAAAGAAAACGGTCACTGTTCAAAGTTTAAATAACAGTTAATAATTAAGATTAAGTGTTTGTCGAGTTGAAGAGTCTGTCTAATAGTTTTAGCTTTGATGAACCCTTTGGGATTTTGTTTTACCTTTTGACTTCAGTTTTTGCTTAGTTAAATAACTGTGGCTCTGACAGTCTGTTGGTCGCATTGGTCTATAAAAAACAAAATCAGATGAGCATTGTACTATATGTACATTCAGACCTACATTACATTATTTTCATTGTCTGTACAGGATGTACAGCCATTAGTAAGGACTAGCTAGCGTGGACACACACAGCTATAACAGTGGACAGCCAAGCTAATGGGCCAGCAGTGAGGGTCGTGTGTGTAACAGGAAATACATACATTGTGATTAGCTTTGCAGAAGAAGCATTAGGTGTAGCCTGGCACCTGTAATGAGTGTAATGGTGAGTTAGCAGCATTGTTTCCCAGCGTTTCACACCACACCATTAGAAGAGGAGGCAGAGCTGTCTCTCTCTGTTCTCTCTCCCCTTCCCTCTGTCTCCAGTTGGGAGTCACATAATGATTCTGTTGTTCAGGCCCATCTCCGAATGATTTAAATGAAATGGCAGTCATTCCATTAACCCAGCTGAAGGTGACCTCTCCCCTCATATTTTCATCCACCCCCAAACACACCTCCCCACTCCCGCCCCCTTCTCCCGCTTCTACTTATTGCTCTTGTCTTATTGCTTTATACTCTCGGTCCCCATACAAAATTTCGTACTCCTCTCAGTCTCCCCCATATCCTCTGCCTGTCCTTATTCTGCAGTCCGCAAAGTCCTCTCTTCATGTCTGTATGTCCTCCCTTCCCCCCTCTTTTTATCTTTAAAGTGTTTCCTGTCTCCTCCTCCCCTTTTTACACAGGTGTGGATTCAGCTCGTGTAAGGCAGGCGGGGCAGATTGCTGGTCAGAGCAGCACCAGGAGGCTCGGAGACTACCCAGTGAAGTTCAACTACAATGAAATTGACTTGCTCAGGTGAAGTCATAATGCTCACACCACATCATATACACATATTCTATTAACAATCCAGGGTTGCTATGCACCCTGGAAAACCTGGGAACTCTTTTTTCAGTCCTGGAAATGGATTAAAATGACCGAATACCCTGGAAATAGTCTGTAATTGTCTTTTAGCCCCTCACTCAGATAGCCTACATAAACTCTGTTGCGTTTTTGTTTTTCCCGCCATAAGACTCTTCAAAGCAGGAACAAACAAAGCGGAACACACTTACGACAGTCTGTTGGGCGTTGAGTCATCGATGTTATAGTTAAAGGAAAACTGTAGTAAACTAGTCAACTGCAGCTCAGCTTCACTGAGACCACTGCAGCTGTGATGAGGACAGTCAAGCGTGCCACGAGGAGCAAGAAAATAATTGGGACGCGCCCACTGAACTTTTTTCACAGCAGACATTTGGGCATGTCATAGCAAGAAACTCACAAAGGTATTAATGTTTGCTGCATTCCACGTAGGGGATGTTCTGCCATTGTGCATTCTCATTCACTGCCGTTGTTGCGGTTGTTAAGTCCACCTGTTTTTCCTGCTGCTATGCAAACAGTGCATTAGCTGAGTTTAACAAAAGGCCGTAAGCAGGGAAATAGCTTGTGTGGCTCCGTCCAAAGGCAACAAAATCCATCTTGGCCTATCATTTGTTTAATCTGAACAAAACAAGTCGTGGTTTTACAGGGAGTTATGTGCTGGAACTATTTCTTGGCCTGATACAGTGAGATCCTGGAGTCTTGTTGTCACTATTATGCAACCTGCAGAGACTCCAGGAAGTACTGTTACTGTTTTTATCTTTGTTTTTCTGTTAATGTACAGATTAAACAAAACGGATGTAACTTAACATTTAGAGGTGTCTGCAAGTAGATTTGTAAAACTTTGTACAAAGCCAGGCTAGCTGTTTTCCCCATTTCCAGTCTTTAAGTGACATTAGGCTAAGCTATTCGCCTGCTACATATAGATTGTATTTTGCATACAGACAGGGGAGTGGTGTTGATCGTCTTACTTACTTTTTTTAGCAAGAAAGCGAACAAGCGTACTTCACACAATGTCAGACTTTGCCTCTAAGAACTGTGGTTCAAGTGGAATCAGCTTCTGACTGAGCAGTGTGTAGCAGTGTGTGTGTGTGTGTGTGTGTGTGTGTGTGCTCAGCACTACCTGGACAGTGGAGGCTCTGTCTCCATATTATGGTCGTTATCATTAGATCTGACTCTGTTCCAGCCTCTCTGTTACTCCAGCTGAGCCTCTTGAAATTCCATGATCCTGGGCCCCCTCTCTCACACTTCTCATTTCCTGTTCCTGTCTGCCATGCAGGCCAAGCGAATCAGGCTCAGATATCTACGAGTCATTCCAATTATGACCCTCAATAAAACACACAATAGAATCTTTATAGAATTTCCTCCTTGGTGCCATCAGAGAGAGTGCAGGAAATTTGATGTGGACAAAGTATAAGCGATTCTTTGGATGTGTGAGATTAGCTGGGTTTATTGTATTTAGGTCAGGTGCACTTATGTCTCTCTTTTTATCTCAGTTCCTCCTTCTTTCTCTCTCCTTCCACTTCTTCTCTCTCTTCTGCTTATTTTCTTCTCTTCTCTCTCTCTCTCTCTCACTTTGATATTATCTACTAACATGTCTTTCTGTCCTCCTCCACCATCAGTGCGGCCAAGACAAGGCCAGTCATTGCGGAGCCAGAGATTCACGGCAGCCAGTCTTTAGACAGCGTGACAGGCTTTTTATTGCTGATGTCAGAGGGTCTCATCAATGCCCTTGAGTCCGCCCACGGCCCCGAACAGGCCAATCAGGTTTGCAGATTCATCCTGACAATTCTTTTACCACCTGAACCATTTTCCCTCCGCTTGTTTTTCTGGTGTTTTTTTTTTAATTCTGCAATAAATGTCTTCTCTTCTTATATTTGCAAATCACCTAATCAAAATGTATCACTTATCTTTTTCTTATAAATATGCTTTTACCCTCCATGTCTTGTCCTTTCCTTCTCTCTTTTCTTAGTCTCAGCTGTTTTCTTTCCACATTTATTGTATTTTATTTAATTCGTGCTTCTTCTCTTCTCACTTTCCATTCTTTCTTCTCGTACTCATTGTGTTCTTTAGTTCGTCAACTCCAACAACCTCTGACCCGCTCTGTCTCCTCTGTTGTCCATTGTAGGAAATTGTTGCCATGGTAGCAGCAGAGCTGGCCCAGCAGAGCAGTCTGGAGGCAACAGCTCAGTCGGTGGTGGACCGCATTAAACGGCTGCACCACGACGTCTACGTTTCCGGCCGTCAGAGGGCAGCCTACTGTTCTCGGCACGAGGACATGACCCTGCTCATCCGCACGCTCAACTACACGCTGGCTGACGGAGCGCACACGCCCACACAGGGTATGAATGGGAATTCTGGGATTGGTTCACATTTCATGCAACACCTGCTAAGTGAACAGACCTCCACACTAACCACACTATTAAAGTTCCCCATTTAAACCTTTTAAAGTTTTGGAGGCATGTAGTAAATGTAATGTCACATTCATACAGCAACACAACACTTTGTATCACTGGTTTCCAACCTTTTGGCTTGTAACCCTTTAAGACAAAGTGAACTCACAACCCTTCTTTACGTAGCATAGGACCACATTGGTATCGTAAATAATTTAATCTTGTCAGCTTTTTTAGCTAGTGTTGAACCAAGACCTGCAGTATTTGGATGGTGTAGCTCTTGAAAAATAAGATAATACGGTTTAATAAGGCCAAGTTTAGTAGTCTACAGCTGTTAAACCAATGTGTCAAATATTGAATCAACATTTAGGTAAACATAAGTATCAGATAACTCAGATATCGGCCAAAAAGACTTGATTTGGACATCCCTAATTTGAACAGGAAATTAGAACCATATTGACATTTTAAGAAACGCATCCAAATCCTGTTGGATTTGGATTATATTGAATTTTTAGGGTTGGCTTCTCAGGCATGGATTAAAATTAGTCCCACACTGAAAACTTAACACCAGTGGAGAGCTACACTTCAAAAGAAATCTTAAAATAATGCTAGTTTATCCACATCTGAGCAGCCAGCCTTTACAGAAAGAAATCAAATATTTTGAGAGGTGCAGCCAAGAATACCACATAGCTGAAATAAGTCTAGGCAGAAACACAATCCAATTTACCCCAGGTTCCCAAGATGCCCATTTTATGCTGACACTGCACACTAGTTTTACAGTGTTTTTTTTTTTTTTTTCTTGATAATAATACTTGTGAAAAGTTTGGAAAACAACATTGGTGTACCTTAGACATTTTCATTTCAAAACAATTGATTGGCAACCTTTAACTTATCTGCGATGAACACGACTCAATAATGGAATATGACTTTTAAAACCTTTTACTTGTTTGCCCTTCTTTCAGGTGGCCGTATCTACCCAGTGTCAGTGCCCTATTCCAACAGCCAGAGCACCAGTAAAACCAGTGTCACCCTCTCGCTGGTCATGCCCTCCCAAGGTACCCTCACCAATGGAACCAACACTGCCTCCACCCTGGAGGAAGGCACACCAACGCCAGGGTAAGATTGGTTTGTGTCTTGTCCCGGCTTGCTCTGGGTAAGCTTGATTTTCTCCTTTCCTGCTGTGCATGATCTGAATGAACTTGATTTTTGCTTTTTATCACACGGCAGTTGTGGCTTCATAAACCTGATTTTCACTCCCTTGCCCCACTGCTGTTGTGTTTTCTCTGTGTGCGCTTTATTCGGACTCCACTCTTCCCTTCCTACTGTTGAGTTTATTTTGGGTACATTTTAGATAAGCAAGATTTTCGACTCCCTCGTCCCTCCCTTGCTATATTTATTTTAGGTAAGCTTGATTTTCACTCTTGTGCGTCCCTCCACTGCTATGCTTATTTATGTGTGAGCATGGTTTTCACTTCCCCATTGTTCCACCGCTGGGTGTTCTGTCGATCATGCCTCGGCCCCTTTGGCAGACCAGAAAGAGAAGACTGATCAAGTACAGCTGTAAAAGTATTCAATATTGAACTTTCCCATAAGCAAACAGTGTACACCAGAGAAGTGGCTTTTCAACTCTGGAAGGTTATCATAGTGGCAGTCTTTCATCATGACAATCACGAGGTAAACAGTAGAAGTACGACGTTCACAGGTTCAGCTCCTATAACTGCATGGATACTGTACAGAGCGGAGTACTGTCTGGACCAGTAATCCCAACAAAGCATCCCATAAAGGCTTCTTTGGATTGAACTTAACATGTCATTTGAATTGTTCTTGTTCCAAGTTAATTGCATGTCTCATTTATAACAAACATGACTCACTGACAGCTTCCAGCAGCGTGTTTGGACTGTGCCCTTTGCTCGTTGAGGTTACCTGCTTGAAACGAGCTGTAGTGTGATAGCAGTCGTAGCACTTGCCGCTGCTGCTTTGGGTCTGCTGCATTTTCTTTCTCCGCTTTGGCCTTTTGTTAGCTCATCCGCAAGGATTGCCTCTGCGTCTCCCTGTCACTCACTGTCTGACTCACGTCTATATTTCTCTTCCTCGTGGGCCCCGACTTGCCAATATCCATCCTGTGTCCTCACTCTGTCCTCGCCTCTCCTTGTTCCGCTCCTGTAGCACGTTCCTCCCCGCTACCTGCCAAACGTCCGTCAACATCCTACAGCCCATAATCGAACTCCCTTATTCCCCTCTTTACCCCCTCTCTCCTCTTCCTCCTCTCCCCCTCTCCACCTCCCTCTTCTCTTTTTCGACCACCCCTCCTCCACCCCGTCCTCTCCCTCTCTCCACCTCTCTCCTTTGTCTCTCCACCCCCTACATGGACCCCTTCCTCTCCTCTGTCGCCCCCACTTCTTCCTCCTCTATTCCCACCCTCATGCCTATTTCCTCTTCTCTCTTCGCCCTCCCCAACCAACCACCTTTCTCCTCCTCCCACTTCTGTTCCTCCACTCTCCCCAGCAGTCAGAGCCCCACGGCCACCCTCCAGTCCACCAACACCCAGACGCAGAGCTCCAGCTCCAGCTCGGGAGATGGAAGCCTGTTCCGCCAGAGGGGCAGCCAGGCAGCTCAGCCCGATGAGACGGGCAGGGTCCCGCCTTATGTGGACTTCAGTCAGTTTTACCGCCTGTGGGGAAGTGACCACAGCGACGGCCAGAGCACCCAGGGAGGACTGGGACCCCAGTAAGAAGGCCAAGGACGGGTACTGGGTGCTAGTTTGAAAGAGATGGACTGGGTTTTCTAGCAGCGAGGAAGCACATGGATTCAGAGGAACAAAGATTTTAAGAGGTGGTTGGGATGACCGATAAAATACTATTATTGTATCATAACTAAAAATAAGTGACCTAAAGGTGCATGGAGACGCATGGAGGAAGGACTGGGGATCTCAAGGTGTTGCTGTTAAACAGTGGGCGAAGCCAGTGTGCAGGCAATAACCCTGAAACAGAGAAAATGGTGTTGTGTGTGAAGTGATGTTTGCTCCTCTGTAATAGATGCTGGTCATGAGTGATTGTAAATATATGTAATCCAGATTGTAGCCATTATTGTCGGATGTAAAAATGTGTATCTGCAAACAGGAATCTCATTTGAGGGTTTGTGGAGTTGAGAATGATTACATACTGTAAGGCCTTAAAATGAAATGAATGGATGCGTTTGAAAGTACTTTTTTTTATTTCTAATGAATGTATATCTCCAAATGAATCAAAAGGCTCTCTGGATTTCTCTTTATATCAACACCACACAAGACCTGAAGATTGACTCATTTGACCGCCGTGACGACACCTGTGATTGGTGGTCACATAAGAGGGGGGCAGCAAAGCACCTTGCCAGTAATTCATCAGAGAAAAAGAGGAACTCCTCTGTACAGCTATGCTTTGAAACAAACTAGAATGGTTAGAACTATTAGTACATGAGTGTTTGTCTTGGGAGGGAAGGTAAACACAAGCTAATCCTTTTTTCTTAAAAACACATTTTCACCAGTTTGTTGTTAGCCACAACCAGCTGACAAGTCACTTATCTCACTTAGGAAACTAGTACATAAAGAAGCACTTACAGAATACAAATGCACTGAATGACTTCTGCAATATAAATGACACAAAATATGGTATTTTAAATATTTAAAGTATTAAAAGAGTATGGAGACCTTAAAAAAGTAAAAAGTATATCATTCAAGAATGACCATGCTGTACATATATTTTTGGAATTATGCAATTTCTTCTTTATTCTGTACTAAATTTCAGTGGCAAGAAAAAAAGGATTTAAATCCAGCTACATGAGATTCATGACATGACTCACACAAAATCACACAAATCTTAATCTGACAACTCTCATTGTAACAACCAAAAAAACTGAACCTGGAGGTATAACAATGAAGGGATTTGAGTGGCTGTGTAATGAAAGACAAGCTACAGCATGAGTATGAGATGTGGGAGAGGTTGTTTACTGGACTCTGCTCTGAACCAGAGTGCTCACCATAGCTACAATGTTTGAGTTATTGACTGTGAAGAGTGGTCTGCTCTTCGGACGTGATATTTAAGACAACCTCAGACACCTCAGCAGCATGACACTGACGGATCGGGAGCACCGGCGGCTATGTTCACAATGCACTGAAGTAAAAATATAATCCACCATGATGGGTAAGAGTGGGGAGGGTCCACGGGAGGAGCAGAGTGATTAAGTAGTGATTGTTGGAACAAATGGATCCATCAATCTAAATCAATCTAAGCCACCGTGATTTCAGAATAACCTTGTGAAATAATCAAAAGTCAGGTACTTCAATTGAAATTTCAACCCACAAAACGAACCCTCTATGCCCTCTCTCTTGGATGTAAGAATTTGATGTATTTTGATGCATTGCATTTTGTTGCAATGAAACTTAAATTTCAGCTTCTTCCAAAGTGTAATTCTTTTTTCCAGAATTAATTTTAGGATTTTTTGACAAAACACATGCAAGTGAGAGATGTACAAATATATAAACGGTGACAGCATGGTTCTCTGGCATAATAAGGTAACTGTTGGTTTGTCTCCTTTACCATGGTGTCCCTGCTTTATGCCTGCTAAAAAAAAAAAAAAAAAGATTCCTTTAGACTTTAAAATATGTCCGCTTAAAGTTCCATATATATAGCCTCTCACTCTTGGAAGTCAGGAGTTAATCTCATTCCGTAAATTAACTTCACACTGTTATGAACCCCTAATTGGCTTAATCAGGGAAGTGATTAGAAACACACACTAAAAAGTAAATGGAAAAAAAATGATTCCCATTAAACCCTCAAATCACCAAGCTGGAGCTGTACTGTTGCAGAGTTGTTTAGTATCAAAGCAGACACAGAGCATGTTGTTAATTGCTCATTTTAGGGGTAATTGGTATTTTCCTCCTGCTCAGGCCATGACCCAATTCCAAAGTCGCTTCAATTAACTTTATCACTCCTTGCAGAAAATGGAGGGAAATGAAAAGTCAGGTGAAGGATGAGAGGTTGAACCAAATGTGACCATCGCTGCACTTTACTTATACTATAGTCTCTGTTCAGCCCTATCCTTAAGTAAGTTCACTGCAGTGTAAGAGCTTAGGCTGCGGCGGAAATTACAAATCTCATTTTATAATCTCTGTGTATGTTATGTTTGATAATGAAGCTGTATGATATCTGTGTGCCGAGAGATAAACAGTAGTGCTTTGCTGAATTATACTCTGTTTCAGAAACATACTGCGTACATGTGTTGTTGTGATGGATGGTCTCAGCAGGGGAGCTTTAAGCTCCGTGGCCCTGGATGTTGACAGTCCCGGGCTCTGTTCCAGGGCTGAGACACTTTCGTTTTTTTTACATAAATAACAAAACCTCAGTCTGAAGTAGCCAAATATTATACCACCAAGTGCCACAAAGAAAAATGTTGTGCATGTTATTTCACATAATACAGACCCCATTACCCCTAAGTCAAACATCGATTGAGTTTTTGAGATTTGAGAAGATTTGTCTGCAAACTGACTCCAGTTCAGATTGGGTCAGTCAGGAAACAAATAAGGATAAAATATCAAAAGTAAAAGCACTCATAGGCAGCACAATGACTCTCATTGTTATATTATGGGATTCTTCTTACTGATGCATTACTGTTATTTAAGTACTTTAAATGCTGTTACGTAGCTAAATCTGTGACAGCACCATATTTAAAAACTAGATGATAATTTGTTTCATATGTAAAGGTTTTATCTGTTAACTGGTTACTTTTGCGCTCTAATAATGTGTAGTAAAAAGTACAATATTGGTATAAAAGTGGTGTAAAAGTCTAAATAAATAAAAAATAAAAAAACTGATATACCTCAAAATGCTTAGTTACTCTCCACCACTGCACATTGGAAGACTAAAAGACTTCAGCTTAGATTACATTTATTTGCATCAGCCTTTATCATCACTAACATCCTCTTGAGAGTCTCACGTGACCGTGTTTTTACACTAACTGAAACATAATCTTTATGCTTTTTCCCTTCAGTGAGACCAATCAGGCCATCAGACATTATGATGAGGTTGCTGTGGCTTTGAACATGAGTGTTTGTTCTTTTACTCCAATATACTTTAGGTTTTAAACATAAGTCTTCTTTGCTTAAGTCTGACCAACAAACCTTCATATTGAATCCCCAATTGCTGCCACTCTTTCAACCAGCCCATCAGATGGCAATGTGGAGCTAGATTTCCAGATCTGTCACAGACAGTATTGGCAAGAGTATCTTCAAGGAGAAAGCCTTCAGGCTCTGACTCAGTTTGATTTGGGCCGCTCAAACAGTTAAGTAAACCACCCATACTGTAACTGTACGCTTGCAGGCTTATCCACCATGACGCCAAGTAATATGAAATGCTGCGCAAGACACTGAATGCATTTCTGATCCTGTTCTTTCTGCAGAGTCAGCAGATACGTGTAAAAAGCATGAAAAGGGAAGAGGACAAGCAAAGTACCGTCACTGATTACACGGAATGGACCTGCCACTCTGTGGGTGTGTTTAGGCTGTAGACACAACCAATGAGCATGTCCACCGCAGTTTGTCACAGAGGAGAGTGTGTATTGCTGTTCAGCCCACACTCACCTGATTCTTCTCACCTTTAATGGAAGAGCTTGTTAGTGTCACCTGGAAGCAGGAATGCCGTACACAGCGGTGCCTGCAGTTGGACTATTGACTCTGGCTTAATTACTCCATGGCAAAGGAAATAAATGATTAGAAGAAAAACTGAAAAGGTAAATACACAAGACTTTACTCACTAACTGGGACATCTGAGGAAAAGAGCTATGTGTGTGTTTGTGTGTAAACAGATGCTGGTGTGACAACATGTCTGCCACTATTCTGGTAGTGAAGGAGAAATCCTGTGATCTTTATTCTGTCAAGTGTCTGTACATTCTTGCTGTGAGTGCAATGAAGTCTGGTGCTTTATCTTTGATAGTGAACACTACTGCTGACGTTTTTGACATGCACCTTAGGAACTGTCAGAGGATTTGTGACTTGTTTTAGTAGTGGACATTTGTTCACTGGCAACTTTGTTTCCTGAAAGGTACTTATAGAGTGAAACAACCACAAGAGGTTCTGATATCCTAGTCACATCTTCCAAAACAGGAAGTTCTAAATGCAAATCAGCAACCATCTCATCAGACATTTGACTAACCATAAAGTCTGCTGTCTATGGAAACTGTTTTATAAGCAGGGGGTTTCTCAGCAAATGTTTTTCAAACGTTTGGTGACATTTTGTTAATGAAATATGCCTTTCAAAATCGCTCTTATGTCTGTCTGTTAGATATGATGCCGGAGTTGGTTAGTAGTTTGCTTAGCCTAGCCTGGCACGAAGACTGGACTCACGTGGAAACAACTAGCCTGGCTCTGTCCAAAATCGACCTACAAGCACCTCTGATGTCTGTTTAAGCCATGTAAAAACCAAAGTTGCTAAAACGATAAGTTGCTGTTTTATGGGGGGTATTGTGTGCGCGACTATTTGATGTGCTAAGGTTATTTGACTTTTATTTTTTTTTAAATGCTGGTCAGAGTTAGGGAAACAGTCTTTTTGCCAACCTGATCGTCTCCTTGATCTTGCCTTGTATTTAGCATAAAGACATAACAGCAGTAAAGATTTTCTCGTCCAACTTATGGAAAGAAAGCAAATATGCGTATTTCTCAAAATGTCGATCTGTTCCTTTAAGTCATAAAGCTTTTGACAAGAATGATGTTTTTTGTGTCAACAGTACCCAAATATGTACTACAGGCATAACACATTAAGCTATATGGCTGTTCTTCCCTTTTGTCTCAGAGAACTAAACCACAGATAATGTGCACTTTCTCAACACACACATCCATGTGTCTCTAACCTTGCCTTGAGTTCAGTTAGTGTTTCTCCAACTCCAGATTTCTGTCTTGTCACTCTGGAACTTTATCTTGAGGAAGCTCTGTGGTTGCAGACGTCTAATCTGTAGCCAACAGTAACCGTTCGGTTTGTCTGGACTCGGATGAAAGTTCTCCATAACCGTCATATCTCCAGTGTCATCTGAGAAGGCTCTTTTGCTGAATATTTCACATTCTGGGGGTCTATGTGTATGTGTATGTGCAGTGCTCACTTATACATCTAGGAAAATGAGATCCATGTTGAGAATCTGCAGGTTTTCCATTTTGTCT